GACATTTCGTTCCGATAAACATGTTTTTGACCGTTCCTTCACTTTTGACCGACATCACAACTTGCTCATTTCAGACAGAAGATCAAAAAAATGCATAATTACTTGTAACAGGCATTTTAACTTGATTTCTACTTTGAATGAGGATTAAAAATCATTTATATTGTTTCACAGTTGATTTAAAGTGAGTATCCAAAAAAGTTCAATCTGGTCCTCTGGACATTCAAAAAAACAAACAAAAAAAAACAAAGCAAAAAAATCTAGAAACGTTTCGTCTCTCATCCAAGAGACTTCCTCAGTCTGAGGTGCTGTTTTCAGCTCAGTCTCTTAAATAGCACATTCTTAGAGTGGATCAACCAGTTTGCTGCTGACAACCAAAACCAGCTGATCACATGCTCAAGAAGGACCATCAGCCTAACAATGGGTCATTAGCACACTGATGGCTGTTTACTACTCACAGAGGGCTGAGTGATACTAGCAATCACAGCATTGTAAGAGGGGGACAGTTGAACCCGGAGGCCTCCACCCCTGTTTAATGATGGACGGTTTCTTTTCACAAAGATGGCCTCCTTTACTCCTCTCTCAAACCATCGTTCCTCTCTGTCCAGGATGTGAACATCTTCATCCTTGAAAGAGTGACCGCTGGCCTGGAGATGAGTGTAGACCGCAGAATCCTGGCCTGATGATGTTGATCTTCTGTGCTGGGCCATCCTTTTGGCCAGTGGCTGTTTAGTTTCCCCGATGTAAGACTGATCACAGCCCTCCTGACACTGAACAGCATACACAACATTACTCTGTTTGTGCCGGGGGACTGGATCTTTGGGATGAACCAGTTTTTGCCGTAATGTATTTTGGGGTTTAAAAGCCACTGGGACGTTATGTTTAGAAAATAAACGTCTCAGTTTCTCTGATACCCCCTCAACATACGGAATGACCACTGGTCTGGGTCTGGGTTCCTCCTTTTCACCTGATGGCTGACTGGAGTCCTGTTTGGGTTTCTTCTCTGCTTTCAGGAAGGCCCAGTTAGGATATCCACATTGCTCTAGAGGTCCTTCTTGAGCATGTGATCAGCTGGTTTTGGTTGTCAGCAGCAAACTGGTTGATCCACTCTAAGAAGGTGCTATTTAAGAGACTGAGCTGAAAACAGCACCTCAGACTGAGGAAGTCTCTTGGATGAGAGACGAAACGTTTCTAGATTTTTTTGCTTTGTTTTTTTTTTTTTTTTTGAATGTCCAGAGGACCAGATTGAACTTTTTTGGATTTTTCTACCTGGATTATTGAGCATGCATCAGGATATTTAAAGTGAGTAGTTCACTTCAACATTTAAAATGGTTTGAACCAAACACACTTTTGATTATCAAGACATTTGTAAAATAGTAATGATAATATGAGAGAGTGTTCTTTCAATTGACCAGTGCAGGACACACTTAGAAAGTCTCTGGATGAGCTTAATCTGTGTTTCTGGACTCAAATCAATGAAATAACAGTTCCTGTCCCAGGAAGGCCCTCAGGGTCAGGTTTTGGACCTGAGGTTTAGTTCACTACATAAGCAAGTCCGATCGATGATCAAATCGCAGATGCAGGATCTGGATCAGCTCTTTACCCTCACTAGAGTCCTCGAGGGGTCATAGGGGTTTGCCCATCCAGTCTACATGCCTTTTATGAACTTGGAGAAGGCTTTCGACCATGTTCCTCGAGGTAAACTGGGAGGGGTGCTGCTTGAGTATGGGATTGGGGGCCCATTGCTACATGCTATTCTGTCCCTATGCAAGAGTTTGGTTTGCTTTGTTGGTAGTACGTCAGACCCCTTGAGGGTGGGAGTTGATCTCTGCCAGGGCTGCCCATTGTCACCAGTTCTGTTCATAACTTTTATTGACAGAATTTCTCAGTGCAGCCAGGGAGCAGAGGGATTCCAGTTTGGTCCCCTCAGGATTCCATCTCTGCTCTTTGCAGATTATGTGGTCATTTTGGCATCATCGTGCCATGATCTTCAGCTAACACTGGAGCGGTTCACAGTCGAATGTGAAGTGGCTAGGATAAGAATCAGCATCTCCAAATCCAAGACCATGGTCCTCAGTTGGAAAAGGGTGGATTGCTTTCATGTCTAGGGTGAGGTTCTGCCTTAAGTAGAGGAGTTCAAGTATCTCAAGGTTTGGTTCATGAGTGAGGGAAGAATGGTGCGTGAGATTTACAGATGGATTGGTGCCGCATCTGCAGTATTGCGTACTCTGTGCCAGTCCATCGTGGTAAAGAAGGATCTGAGCTATAAGGCAAAGCTCTCTGTTTACCAGTCTGTTTATGTACCAACCTTCACCTATGGCAACGAACTTTGGGTAATGATCGAAAGAATAAGGCAGTGGATACAGGTGGTTGAAATGAGATTCCTTTGCAGCATAGCTGAACTCTCCCTTAGAGATAGGTGAGAAGTTCAGTCATCTGGGATAGCTTTTGGAGTAGAACCACTGCTCCTCCACATCGAGAGGAGCCATTTGAAGTGGTTTGGGCATCTGGTAAGGATGCTTCCTGCGCACCTCCTTGCAGAGGTACTTTGGGCATGTCCGACTGGGAGGAGACCCCAGGGAAGTCCCAGGGCATTCTGGAGATACTACATCTTTCGGTTGGCCTGGGGACGCCTTGGGGTCCTCCCAGAATAGCTGGAAGAGGTGGCTGTGGAAAGAGATGTCTGGGCCTCCCTGCTCAAGCTGCTGCCCCTGTGACCCGACTTCAAAACAAGCTGAAGATAATGCATGAGTGGATGGAGGTAGTTGGAGTGAGGACAGATTAAACAGAGGACAGAGTGAGATGGAGGAGGATTACTCAATGTGACGACCACTGAAGAGGGAAAAGCTGAAAGAAAAATAAGATCAATCCTGACAGCTTCATGCTGTTTACTTTGTGTGCATGTCAAAGAGAAGATGTCAAGTGTGTGTCTGTTTTATAATATTCTTTCTAATTGATCTTCTCTTCATACTGCTAAATCTCCTGATTATCAGATCAATGTGAAACAAAATGCACCATAAGATGAAATGTAATCCACAGTGCTGAGACAAATTTATCCATTTATCAATTTTCTTTATGAGCTTTTCCATGCAGGGTTGGGGGAGCTGGTGTTAAGCTCCAGCACCAGGCGGGGGTACACCCTGAACAGGCCGCAAGTTCATCTTAAGGCCTGAGACAAATTATCATTAGCAAAATTAGCTGCTATATTTTCATTTCATCATCAGGTCCTTCAGAGGTTTTATAAAGAAGATCTTTGGAGCAAATGCTACAGATATTAGCGTCCTCACTTACCAGCAGTAGAAAAACACTTCTGGAAAATGTCAGGACTGCAGTGTCTGTGTGAGAACGGTTCTGCAAATATATAACTTAATCATGGCATAAACTCAGTAAACTCTATAATCAAATCATAAAACGCTCCTCAGATACTGATACACTGATACTGATATTGATACACGGAAACAGAAAGCAAACAAAACATAAGGAAAAACTACAAAACAAACACCAAAACCAGTACAGTACAATTTTATGCAGTTCAATACAATATGATGCAATGTTATGTGATGCAAGACAATTTGATACGATACAGTATTTACTATTCTATATGATACAACCCAATGTCATCATATTTTGTACAATACGATACATTGCAATACAACATAATAAAATATAAAATGTTACAATATGATGCAATGATAAAATTTGATACATTGGATTATGATGGTATTTGGTACATTAATTCCATTCAATTCAGTTTATTTATATAGCCCCAAATCACAACAGAAGTTGTCTCAGGGCACTGTGCAAAACCATTCACATACATAGAAAAGCCAATTAGCAAAGTTCTCTATCTAAGGAAGCCACCAGACTCGTTGAATCTTCACTTTGTTGCAGTCTCCCATCTGAGCAAGCACAGTGGCAACTGTGGAAAGGAAAAACTCCCTTTTAACAGGAAGAAAGCTTCAGCAGAACTACAAAACAGGTTGAGTAGAGTAAGTAAATACAGCAGCAGAGTGGAGAAATGTGGTCAGTTTGTCCTCGAGCAGTCTAAGCCTATAGCAGCATAACTAAGGGATAGCTCAGAAAACCCAAGGCAACTCTAACTATAGGATTTATCAAAACTAAAGTCTTAAGCCTAGTCTTAAAAGTAGACAGTGTGTCAGCCTCATGGACAGAAACTGGAAGTTGGTTCCACAAGAGAGGAGCCTGAAAAATGAAAGCTCTGCCTCCCATTCTGCTTTTGGAAACTCTAGGAACCACAAGTAAACTTGCAGTCTGCGAGCGAAGTGCTGTTAGGACAATGTACATTACAATACTTTCAACAGAATATTATACAATACTATACAATGTGATACAGTTTGCTACAATACAGTATAACATGACAAATACTATTCAATATAATATAATACGATACAATATTTTTTATTAGCCCCTCAGGGAGTTCTGTGTTTGACTCGGTGCTGTCCCAATACCTGCCTTGAAAAATATCCTGACATGACTAAGTCACTCTTCATAGGCTTCAGTTTGTGCTGCGTCCAGCTTTATCAAAGAAGCCATTCATCAGATATAAGAACTATAATCTTGTGAAGGGTCACTGGGGCCAGGAACCTCTCCCTTTCAATGGGGATCAAAACTGGTGCTTTGCCCTTCATATTAGCTGCTGTGATATAGTTTATGCTTCTGTCCTTCCTCCAGGGGGTTAGTAAATGCACCTTTTCTTGCACATTAAGACCATTAAAGCACATTGCTTTCTGCATCAATCACTGCCCAGTTTAAATGGGTTGTAAGTGTTTTTTGGTCAGTATGTGGCACCCAGCACTGTAGTGGATACACATTTTAATTTGCCTTGGCTTCTCATCAATGGTAAAAAGCATAGTATAAGTGAAACAGTTCACCTAGTCATTGTCATGTTTGTCCAATCTATTGTTAAAGTGCTGTATTTTTAGCACATTTGGCAGATGATGTGGCTGTGTGTGATATGTGACTTATTTTCTTGTCTCCTCCAGCTGGTGATGGAGTTCTGTGGTGCCGGCTCCATCACAGATCTGGTGAAGAATACCAAAGGTAACACACTGAAAGAGGACTGGATAGCTTACATCTCCAGAGAGATCCTCAGGGTAAGCTATTATTCACAGTTCCCACTGACATTTTTACCAGATTATGAGTTTTATTTTGTGTTGAAAGGTGCCAAAAATTGCAGAATTAGAATTGACGTTACTCTTTCCTGCACATAAATTGAAGACAATTAAACAGCTTACTCTTTATTTAGTTATGCACTAAGATACAGTATGTCATTTGCAAAGCAGTGAGTATATTATAGATATTTTTATTCTGTGATTTTCTGTAGGGATTAGCTCACCTGCATGCTCATCATGTCATCCACCGTGACATCAAGGGACAAAACGTGCTGCTGACTGAAAACGCAGAAGTCAAGTTGGGTATGAGCTATTACTTTTTCTGGATTGATTTAAAATGAAAGAACATGGCTGGACTGACAAGGTTAGATTACTAATGTTTTATAGAAAGGTTTTTCTTTCTGCAATTGCATGTTTGCACTAATACATACACATAAACCAAATGCTTCCCTTTTGACTACAATAAATGAAATTCATTCTAAATTATCCCCACATGTTTGAGAACTAAAGGTATGATCTTTTATTTAACTTTAGGGCTGGAAGATAGATGACCCCTTCTGTATTTCCTGCCTTCTTTCTTTCAAAACGTGAAGAGTTTGAATCACATTTTTCTGGTGCTTAAACAGTCTTTGCTAAATAGTTTTGAATGCAAGTTATGCAACATAAAATAACTCCTTTCAGTAACTGACCTATAGACATGAGAGAAGTTTATTACACACAAAGAAACTCTGCAAAGGAAACCATGTTGAGCCCCCTCTGATGGATTTCTGTTGTTTGTCTTCAGTGGATTTTGGTGTGAGTGCTCAGCTGGACCGGACAGTCGGTCGGAGGAACACCTTCATTGGAACACCATATTGGATGGCTCCGGAGGTTATAGCCTGTGATGAAAATCCTGATGCTACATATGACTACAGGGTAAGGATAGAGGCTCCGTTATGACTAAAAACAGTTGCTCAAAACCAGACGATACAAATCATTCTTAAACAGAGGTAGTCTAGACCAAGACACTGACCGTCGGTTTTTGTAATGGACAGAAAACATCTCTGAAATATGTTGATATCAAAATAAAGCAATTGAATATAATTATTTATTTATTGTTTATACCCATAGGCAGAAATTAGGGGACCCAATGTTCTGTTAATAAAAAGTGGTATTTTAAGGGAAAATTCTTCAAAATTATTACAACAATCCAAACATTTTACCAGTTGTGAAGCATATTAGTTGAGCTTAATTTGTAAACTGGCTGATGCCGGAACAACAAATAGTGGGTGGTCCGGTGGGGGGGTGGTGGGGGTGGTGGTCGGTGGGTCCTCCCCAGAAAATTTTGAATAAAAGAGAAGCCATTTCCTGCATGTTGGTGTATTTTAACGTGTTGTTAAACATCTATGTTTATTTGTAAACATTTGATTAAATTGATTAAAAACAGATTTCTCTTGTAAATGAGTCCTCGAGGCTCAATGAGACTAACAACTTGTATAAATAAGGGTTGAATTGAAATTACCATTTTAGAGAGCAAGAAGAAAAGCCTGTGAATAGAGCAGCTCAAATTCTGTCTGATGACTTGACTTTTAGGGGCAGAGATTTGAGTTGCCGGATCCGAGCAAACAGTTGCTGGAACGCAGCTGGTCAGAATGAAGGCGTTCCCAGATCTTGTTTCGGCAGGATCTGCCTCAAATTAACCACTGGTTGTAATAAAAAAAATTTACTAAAATCAGTGTCAAAAACGTTTTTTTCTTGTCTTTTCCTCAGGAATCTCAAATTTTTAAAAGTTTAGATACTTGGTATACATGAAAGCAGCATTTTTGGACCATTGCTCAGACTTGCCTGCCAAAGTTCTAGTAATTTGTTAGTGCTAAAAGTATGTGTTTCTAATAAACCTCAGCTACTACCAACTGAAATCTGATCATCATATCTATAAAAATAAGATATGATTTGATAAGATGAATCACAATAGAATATGATATGATGCAATACAGTACAATATCATAGGATACAATAAGATATGATAAGATAAGCTATGATAAGCTCCAATATGATAACATATGCTACGATACAGTAAAAGATACAATAAGATAAGTTATGATACAATACACTAGGATAACCTACAATGTAGTACAATATGATACGATGCAGTGTGGTAAGATATGATACGTAAGATAAAATATGATACGATACAATAAGATAAGATAATATAAGATGCACCTTGGCCATGTCATTAGCAATTTTTGATGTTTTGGCTGGTTTTGCCAAAAATAGTGATGACCTTGTACTCTAATGAGTTTTGAGGTGCAGCTGCCCACCCTGATCTTCTGCTGTCTCTGTGATAGGAGGTCCAGTAGGTTTACCAACTGTCCATGCCCGAGTCCGTTCCCAGCAGCCTCCACTTTCAACAAAAATGTGTCTGCTGTATGTGTTTCTCTACTCAGTATGTGACAAAAAGGACAGAATTATAGACTTTTTTTTTTTGGTTTGCCAAGATTACAAAGCTGTGGCAGCCATCTTGAAATGTGGTGGCCAAAGGTTATCCATTGTAAATGTACATTCAATGATTACTTTCTGAGTGTTTCAATAAAATGTATCTACAGGTTCATGATATATTTGCTTTTTGACACGACTGGTCACCTTTCATGACAGGAAGTGATAATAAATGTATAACTGAAAGGAACAATCTGGGAGCTATGTGCACATGTACTTGACACGTCTCTGTTTTTGTCTTTCAGAGTGATCTGTGGTCCTGTGGAATCACAGCCATTGAGATGGCTGAAGGAGCTCCCCGTATGTACAAGATTAGCATAAAAAATTGCTTTGAGAATTTATGGAGATGTCAGATTGTGGGCTAATTAAAAAACTGTAAATAAATGAAGGAAAAGTTATGTTATGCATAGTCAGTAAATTCAATTTACCACTGATATGCAGAGTGCTGAATTTTTTTCTTGAATATGGAATTTTAGCTTCACACTTGGAGTTTTCTGTTTCTCTGATCAGTTTTTTGTCTCTTTCCCACAGCCCTGTGTGACATGCATCCAATGAGAGCTCTCTTCCTCATTCCCAGAAACCCTCCACCTCGACTGAAGTCCAAAAAATGGTGAGATAGCATCTTTTAGCTTTATATTTCCTCTTAAGTTTCTCTTGTAGCCAAAGTTTGATTGAACATCTTAACTCTTAAAATTGCATGCAACCATCCCAACAGGTCCAAAAAGTTTTTCAGTTTCATTGAGGGCTGCCTGGTGAAGAACTACACCCAGCGTCCTCCCACAGATCAGCTTCTGAAACACCCGTTCATCCGGGACCAGCCCAACGAGAGGCAGGTCCGCATCCAGCTCAAAGACCACATCGACAGAACCAAGAAAAAGAGGGGCGAGAAAGGTCAGTCCTCTGTTTTCAGACTGCAGATCATCTGAAGAAACGTTGTAAATCATGGCTGTTGTGTTTGTCCTTTTTCACACTTTTCTCACAGATGAGACCGAGTATGAATACAGTGGCAGCGAGGAAGAGGAAGAAGAGGCTTCTGAGCAAGAAGGAGAGCCAAGGTTCATATGCAGAAACTCCAGGGTTCCAGACCCCGCCCCCACTAAAAACAAATACTTTGAGTAAACTATCTTAATAAAACCAGAAAGCATATCCTTTATTTATATAGCAAAACAATGCATTTATGGCACATAGGAGGTCAAACTTTGATTCCCTGATGGGGAGTTACATTATTATTGACCAATGTCCCTCCAAATATTGTTCTTTTAAACCCCCCTCCCCACAATGCCAATGAAATTGGATGTAGTAGTGTAGCAGGTCTTTATGTGAATGGGGTAAACATGATCAAAGCATGTCTACGGTGAGCAGAGCAGGGAGCCTATAGTTTACTTATGACAGGTCAAACACAGAGCTGATCATGTGTTCAAGTGTTTCACACGCACACTTTGGCTCAGATACAAAAAAAATCTTTATTTGGTTTTACTGCAATCAATAAACCTCTTCTGACTCCAAGTTTAGAGCATGAAAGGATATGATGACTGTTCACGTTGCCTAATTAAATCTGACAGGATGAACGTTTTAGTGAATTTGCCCCTTAATGAGGATTTGCACAGCAGGACAGAATTTAAAATGAAAATTAAAAAATTTAACATTTAAAATGATTTTGTTTAAATGGTTTTAAAGCACAAAAGCAGTTTTACTGTTTTATTTTTCTTAGGTGTGAATAACTGCACAAGTTAAAGAAGCAGAAAAATGTTCCTGAACTTAAAAAATGAACCGGTCTTGTGTCGACACAAAACAACATAAACTGGACCTGTAGACACTTTGAGTACTAATTGTGGCTCAGACACATCTTAATTTGATCCTACAAAATGTCAAAAACAAAGTTTGACTAGATTAAAATCATATTGTTGCACCAACAATATGATTTCCACAATTAGCTGTAGTCAGTTTCAAAGACTGGATTGAAAATTTGTTAGAAAGCAGATACTGAATAATTTTTGTGAAACTTATAGAAAGCCTGGAACACAAATGGTCTAAACTATTAGAAATTTAAATAAAGACACATGACTTCTTGTAGAAAAATATAATATTATTATCACACAGTATTGTGCAAATGTAGCTCAATTTTCACCGGTTAGCAGTGTTACTCAACCTTTTAATTATTCCTGCTTTTAGAACATAAAATGGCAATAAATGGACTGTACTTATATAACACCTTTTTATCATATCAAGATATTCAAAGCTCTTTACAACAATCTGTGCCTCATTTACCCATTCATACAGAACTCTACTAGAGATCTACTACGACTAATCAGAGCTTTATCACATTCATACACCGATGGGACACACATCTGAGACAATGAGGGGTACAATGTCTTGCCCAAGGACACTTCAGCATGTGACCACTGGTGAAATCAAACCCACAACTCTCCCATTGGAGGACGACTGCTCTAACCACTCAGCTACAGTTGCCCCTAATAATAGGAATAGTTTCCTAAAGTAGCAAAGAAAACCACAAACTTTACAACTTGCACATTTCTTTGATACAGACTTTGTTGTTGTCCTCATTATGTAGCTCCATAGTCAACGTGCCAGGCGAGTCAACTCTGCGACGGGACTTCATTCGGCTGCAGCAGGAGAACAAGGAGCGCTCCGAGGCCCTGCGCCGCCAGCAGCTCCTCCAGGAGCAGCAGCTCCGTGAACAGGAGGAGTACAAGCGGCAGCTGCTGGCTGAGAGGCAGAAACGAATCGAGCAGCAGAAAGAGCAGAGGAGGCGGCTGGAGGAGGTGAGCACAAATCCTCAAACATGTGGTTACATAGTACTGTGAGAGACACAGTTGACAATATATTACTGCGCATGCAGCTTCTGTTTTTATGGAGTATCTGCTTTAAAAACCTGAACACTGAAATGAAAAATGCAGCTAATTACTTTCTCTAGATGACAGAGAAACCACCTGTCAGACTTAACCTTTAAATCTCATTTAAAGGTCCAATTTAAAGAAAGTGAATGAAAGAAAGTACTATGTGTCATCACTGTATGTTTCGATACAATCATGAAATTTACGCTTTGCATTTAACCCATCACACGTGAGATACACCCAACTGGAGCAGCAGGCAGCTATGTAAGCATCCGGGAGCAGTTAGGGATTAGGTGTTTTGCTCAAGGACATATGTGTGTGGGTATGGTAGGGAGTTGAACCTGCAACTTTCTGATCCCAAGTCAGCTGCCCTACCACTGCACCACAGCCACCCCTAAAAGCTGCACTTTAAAAGTTAATACAATACTGTACCTACGATACGATACCTGCGATACGATGCCTACGATACGATACCTGCGATACGATGCCTGCGATACGATGCCTGCGATACAATGCCTGCGATATGATGCCTACGGTATGATACCTACGATACCTGCGATGCGATACGATACCTGCGATGCGTTGCCTGCGATGCGTTACCTGCGATGCGATACCTGCGATATGATACCTGCGATGTGATACCTGCGATATGATACCTGCGATACGATGCCTACGATATGATACCTGCGATACCTGTGATGCGATACGATACCTGCGATGCGTTACCTGCGATATGATACCTGCGATGTGATACCTGCGATATGATACCTGCGATACGATGCATGTGATACGATGCCTGCGATATGATACCTACTATACCTACTGGTTGACCCACTATGTCAGTGATCCTCACTATTTTTTTCAAAAGAGCCATATTAACAGATCAAAGTCAAGGGGAGAGCTGCAATATCACCCCCAAGTCACTCAAATAAAATAAAAAAATTAAACATCCCACCTATGAACAAAAAGAAACACAGCCAGCACATGATCTGTTTAAACAAAATATATCTGAGATGAGCGGAAGCTGTGGTGCGTGTCCTTGACTTTCTTCATGCTGTATTTGTAATTTGTTGTTGCAACCACAGTGAGACATTCAAGATGGGCATGGGTCAGTGGGTTTCTCTGTTTTGCTTGATAGTGTTCATGGTTGAAAATGTTGACTCCCAGGTGTAAACATTCAGCTTTTAGCCGTTACCCCAATCCCATGAAGAAAACACAAGTTAACAATGAACACCAAAGTCCATGCTCAACAATGAATATATGTAATATGTGTACGGATGAAGATGCCCCCAACACATTTCTGCCTGCCCCCTCATGTAATCATGCCTAGAACCGGCCCTGTAAGATGCTCCTCCTTCCTTCACCGCAGATGATAACAGGTGCGGAGCCGGAGACCCATGCGGCCGGTAGCTGATCCATCTGAGATTAACAGGACTTTTGTTTTTACATCTTTTTACCAGCAGTCAGTGGACGTGCACGGCCGATGATGATCAGCTTAACAGGACTTTTTAAATTTTTTTTATCTCTACTAGCCGGTCGGACCTGCCTCCTCCTCAACAAGTAGATTAGCACAATATTATTTGTAAAACTGCATCAAAGAAGCCCGAGCCGACATGCGCAATTATTGCACAATGTGCCAGCACGTTTTAAAAATGTACTGGCTGTGCTGGCGTATTGTTGTAACCTGTCACGAGAGCCACCAATAAAGCATGGTGAGCCGCATGTGGCTCGGGAGCCGCGCGATGAGTATCCCTGCAATATTAGGTCTTATTTCTAAGACTGAGTTTGTTGCAGCTCCTCGGACTGATGAAGTCTTTTGGATGAAAGGTGAAACGTTTCAACAAAAAGAAACTGTCCAGAGGACCTGACTTTACTTTGTTGGATTTTTCTAACTGGATTATTGAGCATGAACCTTGATAATATACCTTATTTTTTCCATTTGGATATGCAAATCTTAACATTAATATAGCAAATAATCCTGGTGTTTGTTGTTTATTCTAAATCATGCAACTCTATGTTGGAATCATCTGTTTTGTCCAACTCTGAAATCTAAAACTTTGTTTATCAGACATTCAACATTTCTGTAAATTTGACAAGATAAGGCCAGAGAGTCTTTCACATTTTCCTCCAAAAATTATTTAAATGTTACAGTAAATACATATTGGACTCCTACAGGTCAAATCAGAGTTACATTTGACAGTGCCACTTGTGCTCCACCGCAGCAACAACGCCGTGAGCGTGAGATGAGGAGGCAGCAGGAGCGCGAGCAGCGCCGCCGTGAGCAGGAGGAGAAGAGACGCATCGAGGAGATGGAGCGACGGCGCAAAGAGGAGGAGGAGCGCAGGAGAGCAGAGGAAGAGAAGAGGAGGGCCGATCGAGAGCAGGTACTGAAACAAATGGGGAGGGAGGTAAAGCTGGTTCATCTTTCTGAAAGTGATTCAGTAAGTGGGTGTGTCAGGAAAGATACAAACTAGTTGCAGTTGTAATGAATTGATAAATATTTCATTACCTGGGTCTTAGATACTGGTTGTTTAAGGATGCATATTTAAATATTCAAAATAAAGCATGAATCAGTCCTGTCCAACAGGCCTGCTGTAGTCTGATTTGTCAGCTTTAAGACACTATTCAATATCAACTCGCCTGGAAGATTAAATCCAAAATTATTTTCATCCAAAAGTCTACAGAGTACAAAGCAAGTCAGTTTAAATTCATGTCCACTGTTGCGAATGAAGTGGGAAATTTTAAATACTCTCTCCGTTCATCAGCCTAAAAAATAAGCACGCCGCCCCAGTCATTAGAGGAAACTATGATTTCTAGTTTTTATATTGCTTCAAAGTATGGCTTCCTCAAATGACTGGAGTAGCCTTTGGGGTGGCCAAAGGTTAATCTATGCTAGTGAAGGCCACCATTGGCCACCCACTGGCTCCTCCACTGCACCTGGTGGTGGGTAAAATGTCTTCCTCTGCTTGTTGGGATCTGTCGCTCTGCGCTGCCTCGGACAAGCCAACAGAAAAACTAATAAAATGTTTTTATACAACTCTACCCACTTGATTTTCTTGCACCAAAAAACATTAAAGTTTACTTGTATTCCCAAAAACTACAAACACTCACTATTCAAATCCCTGTGACAGAGATATCAACATACTACTTGTTAAAAATATATAAAGACGTATATTCTATTATTATGGTGAAGTATTTTGAGTAAGACGTGATAAAAAATAACAAGTTCCATCAGTTTGGATCTTTCATGGTATTTTAGAGTTTGCTCCTATTTTTGTTATAACTCCTACAAATTGATCAAAAACTTACTCAGTCTGAATGTTGGGAGTTGCTGCTCAGGCTGGTTGTTTGACAGCTCACAGCAAACATGCTTTGTTAGGTAGGAGAACCTACTGCCTGTTTTTGTTTTATTACAGAAATAAACCTGGACGCTAGTGGCGGTCAGTTCGTCGACTCATGGGAACCTCGAATGTGAAGGACTTTTATTTGGAGTATAAATCCCTGGACCATGACCATAAAGTGCAGACAAGGCCTCTTCAAATGATAGTTCAGTCAGGAAAATGTTCTGTCAGGGTTGATCTTTGGCTTTTGGACACAGCTAATGTCAGCGGGATGGGTGTGTTTGATTGACAGGAGTATATTCGCCGTCAGCTGGAGGAGGAGCAGAGGCACCTGGAGCTCCTCCAGCAGCAGCTCCTCCATGAGCAGGCCATGCTGCTGGTGAGTTTGGCTTTTTCTTTCATCGCAGCAGTTAACTTTGTATTACTTTCTAACGACGTAAGAAGTTTTTATTTCTAGTTATTTTTTCATAGTCATGATAGTTCCATCTGTCATTCCAAGTGGATAAGTTTCATTCAGGGTTTCTTTATTATGCTCTCCTCCCATAATGTTTGATGTAGTTTACCTTCTGGTGAAACTGACTCAAGTTTTTGGGGTTACTGACTGGTTTTTAGAGGTCTACAGGGAGCCATTACCAGCTGAGGTTGAGTTAAATGAAGTGTTCTCAGGGTTTGCAGAAGAAGTCAGGATGTTTACTGGGCCCTCAGCGTATTAATGTCGTCACCAGGAAGCCAGTCATCCAGCAGGAAGAGAGGGCTTCCCTGGTTCTGTTCCTGCTCTAAAGTTGTACAATGTTCAACTGCTTTGTGTTTTTTATTTTGTGGGAGGTTTTGTTCCTCTGGGGAAGAATATGCTCACATTATAAAAGGATGTGAACACCTCCATCTTCAAAACAGGACCAAGTGATTATTTGTACTGTCTGGCTGCTACAAAGTCACCATTCATAGACTAGAAACAAGTTTTCTTTTCCTAATCATTTGCACGAACCAACATTTATTTATGATAAACAGCTGAACATGAAAAAAGAGACAATTTTTAACATTTTTAAAAATGCAATTAAGTTTGATTTTGGTTGTGATGAATCTTGGGAGTAGGTAATGAAGCCATTAAATCGTATCACGTGTCAGGTAACTTATAATAATGTGGATGATATCTGTAGCATGCATCATTCATTAGCACAAGAACAGACTGAAGAATAAAGCCTGATTCTGATTTTCTGGTTGGTATAAATGGAACCAGGTGTCTGAACACGCTGAACAGCCATTTAATGGAAGTGTTTGTGGAAGTGGACGCCACGTCCAGCCTCGTGCACTGACTGGTTTTGGTTCAACTCGATCCTCCCTGTACTCAGGAGTATAAATGGCGGGAGCTTGAGGAGCAGCGGCAGGCCCAGAAGCTCCAGAAGCAGCTGCAGCAGGAGCAGGCCTACCTGCTGTCACTCCAGCAGAACCAGAACCAGAACCAGAACCTGGACAGTAACAAAACAGCCCATCATCAAAGCACTAAACTCTCACAGGGACTCAAACCAGAAAGAGTAAAACCCCTGAAAACTGAATCGGATGCGCCGAAACAACCTCCCAGCACTGACTTTGAGAAAACACGAGCCAGTCCGGTTTCCAGTCTGGAAAAGCCCACAGAGCCCAAGCTTCCTGTAGCTGACCTCCACGGCCCAGCGTCTGACTGTGAGCCGGTCCGAGAGGTGAACCGTCTCTCTGACAGCTGTCGATCTTCTTTGCTTGTGTGAACTCACTGCTTTGGTCTGCGGGGCTCACGTGGTGATGGCTAACTGAATGGACTCGCTCTCCGTCCGACCACAATGTCTTAACCTTTCTATCATTTAACCACTTTACGCTGGACGGACAACAAAATGCTTCTATTGTGCTTATGTGTCTCTATGAAGTGTTTTTAACAATTAAATTTGAACTTCGGTCCAGTAATAAATTATTGGCCCATAACTTTTTCACAGAACACCACTTCAAAATGGCCCACGTGTTCAAACCATGTTTGAGTGATTGGCTGCACTTTCTGTTAACTATTCTGGGAATTAATTTAAAACATGAGCTACCCACGTGATGAAATAATATTCATTAACAAAAAGGCTAAACCCATTAGTATTATGTAGCCTCAAACATATTTTTTTGTTGTCCCACAAAGTAAAGAGGAGGAACTGGAATTACCCTCTGTCCATCCTTCCGTGCATGTTGTGAGCATGACAACTTGAAAAAATAGGCGAGGTACCGACTTCCCTTTTGGTGAGTGGCTGCATCTAGGTGGTAGAAAAGTCACTATTGAAAATTGGCTTGCTACGTCAAAATCCAAGATGGCTACCATCATATATTTATATATATGTAAACCATATCATATGAGGAAACTATGTTTTCTAGTTTTTATATTACATAAAAGTACAGTTTCCTCAAATGACTGGGATAGCCAAAGATGAATTTATAGTGAGCAAGGCTCTGCTGGCCACGCCCTGGATCTGCCGCTGCACCTCATGGTGGATGTCTCCCTCCACTCATCAGGACCTGCCACTCTGCACTGTCCTGGACAAGAAAAATAAATCTCTGTTCTTCTCCACGGTGTAAACTACCGGCTTGAATACCTTGCACCAAAAACATTTAGGTTTACTTGCATTCCCTGTTCAGTTCTAGTCCAGAAAAACACTCGTGTTGAAAACTACAAACATTCACTGTTCACACGGCTCATCGTCGTACTGCTTGTTCTGCACCTACAGTGTAGCTAGTTCCTATCTGACTAATGACCAAAACTTCCCATTCATGGTACTGGTTGTTGTTTACACAAAGATGTGTTTGTTAGGTATTAAAACACTAAATCATTATAATAAAGGTGGTCGATCGACTGTAGATCAATAAACTGTGGCGATTATTGTGACTCACACAATGGCACAAACAGCAGACCAAATTTGATCCCATCCGTTAAATTTTCAGACAAAAAAGACACGTTTCCTCCCATATAACCACACATTTTACTGGGAACCAGTGGAGAGAATCTCTGTCTTTGTCCTGACTTGTCTGCTTTCAGTAGATTTTCTCTTATCATTAAACAAGTGCATGACATCTTTGCTTGTAAACGGACTGTACTTATAAAGCGCCTTTCTATCTAATCAAGATACTCAAAGTGCTTTACACTACATGTATGGGTCTATTGTACTTTCAGACAAAAAGTGGGAGTAATTTGTCACAAATAACACGTCTGTCCTTGATGAGATGTCCTTCTGATGTGCTTGTGGTGTTGATAGTACAGATGTTTGTCTCTGTGGGAGAAAACTAACAAGTCGTACCATCTGGTGGCTTCTGTCCTCACTGGCTCGCGCTGACTTCAACTCCTGCAGTGAATAGAAAGCTTCTGTCTGCGTTTGTTCCCTCAGGCTGATGAGCGATATCGGAAGAACATCCAGGGTTCTCCTCAGGCCGCTCAGACCAAACCCCAGCAGCCTCCAGTGCCGCCGCGCTCCGAGTCCTCACACCCCAATGGGAACTCGGCATCGGAGGCGCCCGCCATGCACCGGCCTGTCGAACCACAGGTAACAACTCCTTAAAGAAACTGGTCCAGATGACATGATTTAACCTTTTATTGTTATCTACCTGGATGATTGAGCACACAAACCACGTAACAACTTCTTCTTAGCTCTTCCTCATTCTTTAGCTCATGCTCGAGTCTAAAACTATAAAAACAGCTTGCATGCAGTCACTGCAGTTTCTTTCTGTCAACAAACTTTATGGTCTTTACGGTGTTTTAAAGGTTTTACAGGAGATGCTGAAAATAATTATAACTCTGCTCAGTTTAAAGCAGGTTCTGCGTAAATCTGTGAAGCTTTCTGTCCACAGTGCATTGTGTTTTGTGTATCTCAGTAGAAATGTTATTTTTATTGGTGGGATGAAACTACCGTACTTTCTGGTGTATAAGCCGCTACTTTTTTCATGCTTTGAACCCCACGACTTATACACCGGCGCAGCTTATATATGTACAAAATTGTTTATTTGTTTATTTTTCAAATTGTTTAATTTAGTGTGCTCTATAGACCAGCAATTATAGTATATGTTAATTTACAAAAGTACAAACACTGTGATAAAGTACAGCAAGCTTTTGTTATATAAAAAAAAGAATAAAGACCTGAAGCTAATAAAAGCTTTCAGCTGTACAAGTAAATAAAGACAGTGGTCATTTATGAGGAAATCAAAGTTAAATTAACCAACAGCCTCATGGATTTTCTTCTGTTTTATTTAAGACATGAAATTGTATATCTTAATAATTTATTTGTCTTTGGCTTTGCTTCTTGTTTTACTCATTTTCATAAAAAAAGAGCTGAAGTGGCTCTTCATAATTCTACAAAGTGCATTTTTTTCATGCAAAATCATATGTTGCATCATATATTTTATTTATTAATGCTAATAAAAATATGTAGTGTATCATATTTATCATATTAATATTGGTAATACTTAATATGCTACAGTCTAACAACCATAAACTGTTTCATCCCACTTTCGAGGGTCAGGCAGGTGTGTATAAATTAAATGTCTTGATCTATCTGAAGAAGCAGCTCTGAGGTGAAAGACTGCCACAGACTGGAGGGTTTCTTAAGGAATAATATAAGATGGTGTGACTTTGAATAAAAACTGTTTTTTCTGTAAATCACTTGAAATGATTTCTACCTGATCTGTGAGACATCACCTCTTATCTACACGACATCTTGTGTATTCTCTTGTTTCTTCATAAAACTTGTTTTTTCAGGTGAGTATTTATTTTCTCAGAGCTGTAAAAGATTTATTCCTCTGATATGTTCATCTGCCCTTTATTTATTAATTATATTTTTACAGGTTTTGTCCCTTCTGTATTGCATCTTGTGTTGACCACAGTGTAGGCGCAGCTGAAAACCATTAAATCAAACGGATAATTTTCAGACTGAAACGTTTCTGACATTAAGGAACACATTGTTTGTGAAAAATGTTTTTCATCTATCAGATGACTTTAAATCAATTTTATTTTGTGGCTTTAAGAGCAAAATGTTTCCAATTATCTTTTCCCATAATTACCTTTCAACTCATCAAACTGAGCAAAAAACAAACAAATGTTTGTTATAATTTTTTATTTATGTTTTTGGATATGCACTGGTCTGACATGAAGCAATGAGTCTGTTGTTATTCCTCTCAGAGGCTACGTTTGGAGCAGAGTAGCTGCAGATTGAAGCGTCGATGCGTGTTGAGCTTCCTCAACTCCACCTCGTCAGTGTGTGCTATCAAAAAACCGTGGACAGATTAAGAGGCGTCCAGATTGGCAGCAGTGACACAGGCTTTAACAGTCACTTCCCAGCAAAGGATTGAACCAACTTTGCATAATTTAACCGCACTTCTGTTCAAACATGGCTCACAGATTAAACTATAGAAACGAGGCGCTGGCGGGTGTGTGTGTGTGTGTGTGGGGGGGGGGGGGGGGGCGTCTAGTGACGCAACTCACTGGTGCCTCATAAAACCTAATGTTTAATAAAAACATGCTCAAATTAAAGTTAATTGAATCAAAATAGTTTAAAATCAGTTTGTCTACATTAGATTTTGTTTTTGCCCCATCACAGAGCGAAATAGGGACACTGAAAAATACCTTCCGTCCGTACATGTTGTTAGCATGATAACTTGAAAAATAAGTGAGGTGCCGCTACGTATTTTGGTTTGTGGCTTCTTCCAGGCCTAACAAAGTTTCCTTTTGAAAACTGGGTTGCCAGTTGAAAATCCAAGATGGCTTCCATGTAAAAATGAAAACCGGCCACCCCTTTAGTTTGAGGTGCCTATGCTTTCTAGTTTATATATTGTTTAAAAGTAAAGTTTCAATTGATTGGGGCAGCCAAAGATTAATTTATGGTGGCTAAGGCCACCACTGGCCACCCTCTGGCTCTGCCACTGCTCCTGGTGATGAATAACATTTCTCCCTCTGCTCACCAGGATTAGTCAGTCTGCACCAATACAACACAATTTACAAACAAAAGCTACACCTGGTCTTCTCCACGGTGTAACTCCTTCCCACTTGAATATCTTGCACCACAAACATTTAAGTTTACTTACATTCCCTGTTCAATTCCAGTCCAGAAAAACACTCATCTAGAAAACTACAAACATTCACTATTCAAATGCCTCATCGACGGGAGACATTGGTGTAGCGATTGTTTATAAATGTTTTGTGTCATTCTAAATTCATGTTACTCACAACTTAAACACACCCAACACTTTTCTAAATTAGATTTGATTTTATGTAATAAAAGTGACCTAAATATGTTTAAAGTTAACAAATCAGCCATGAGTTAAATGGAAGGTTAAACCTGAACTCTGCATGAAGTTGTTCTCATGATGTTTGTGTGCATGCTAGCTCACCTGTCATGGTCATGTTAGCATGTATGTTTGCATGCCAGCCCCATTTTTATTCATTTTTTTACAGTCCAGCCTCCTGCCTAGTGACCAGTAGTGTTTCAGAGACTGGAGATCGGTGGGACTCAGGCTATCCCAGTTTAGATTTGTATTGAAGGACCAGTTCTGTTCAGGGTTAATCTGAACAGAGAATACAAAGAGTAACAAACAGAATATCATAGAGTGAATGTTCATGAAGCGTTCACTTTGTTGTGATCCATTTTTCTTTTGTACGTTTTTTGGAGCAGTTTTCGTCCCGCAGTTTTTGTGAAATTTCAACAAATTATCAAAACATTCAGCTCTTTTAGGACAATCCTGCTATGACTTCTGGTATTGATGAGCTTTAGCTTTTTGAATTTTTTTGCTGTTTCTGACACTTGAGCCCGTGAACAACATATGTCGGCGTAGTGCATGTACGTGCACGTTCAAGGGCTCAAAACACACATATCATCATGGAAATTGTAGTGTGAAAGGACCATGCCCGTCACGTGCCTTGCAATGCCCTGGGCATAGTTAGTACCAGAGGAGCATGCCAATGGGCACTGCACGGTACAAGACAGGCACCACAAATACTTAGTGAGCTAGTGGGCGTGACACCAGTCTTTGTCTCTGTACACCTTTTAGGAAACGCTTCATCAGCGGGTGAGTAAAAACTATTCTGTCACAGAAGCCTTCATGACAGGAAGAAATAGCTGCAGCATAAGTTTTAATTGTGCTGAAAGCTGAATTTCTGTTCATCAGCTGCTGCAGAAAGGACAGCACGCCACCTAGTAGACATGAGATGGCCTCTACACCTTTCTCCATGCACCAGCGCTGAAAGGCTGTCCACTTTGATGTGTACAGCGCTGTGGTGGAAGCAGCTCGTGAGTCTTGGATTGTGCGCACCACTTCCTGAGAGAGACCTATCTTCTCTAAGCGGATCCGCTCAGCGGCCAGACCCAAAGGTGCTGGCCTATTCTGGCTGACTCCTTATCGCGAGCATCGTCCCTCCACGGCAGTTTCCACGGTCGACCCGATAACAGACATTGCAGGTTTGGGAACCACGGGTCGCTCACACGCTCGGGGGCAACAAGGATGGCTGACAGTTCTTCCTTTCGGACTTGGTTCAGAAACCATGATATTAGAGGGACTGGAGGAAACGCGTAAAGGAGCATTTTTGGCCACAGGCTGTGGGCAAAAGCGTCCACTCCTAATAGTGGGTTGTCCCGTGGGCTCATTGAGAACCATAATTGACACTGGGCGTTCTCCCGTGTGGTGAACAGATCCACTGCTGCTCTGCCAAACCTGCTCCAGATCTGAGAAATCAGCTCAGGATGGAGACTCCAGTCCCCGTGGTGAGGACCGCCCTGGACATTATGTCCGCTCCTCTGTTCAGGACGCCAGGGATGTACACTGCTCTGATGGAGAGCAGGTTTTTGTGTGCCCAACACAGCAGCTATCTCGCAATGCGTAACAGTTGGGCTGAGTGCACGCCCCCCTGCCGGTTTATGTAAGCTGCAGTAACTTTGTTGTCTGTGTGGATCAGAACATGTTGATTTCGCAACAGGGGAGCAAAATGCTGAATCACATTCCAAACTGTGAGACATTCCAAAATGTTTATATGAGCTGATGTGTGAGGTGGCCAAAGCGCCCCCACCGCTTGAGACCGGAACGTTCCTCCCCAGCCTGACAGAGACACGTCTGTGAAAACTGAGACGTGTGATGTAGGTCTGCTGATAGGAACTCCCTCTGACAGAGTGAGAGGGTTTCCCCGTGATTCAGGTCGGTTCCCACAGAGGGGGGCACAGAGTTCATCCGCCTCTTCTGATGCACCGGATGTATGCGCAGGCGAGCGAACCATCTCTGAAGGTGTCTCATGTGGAATAAGCCCAGCGGAACCACAGCATGAGCTGAAGACATCTTACCCAAAAGTTTCATGATCGAGACGGCCGTTACTACTCTGCTGGGTTTGACGCGGCGGAGCTGATCTTTCAGAGCTTTGGCTCTCGGCTGTGATAAGCGGGCTCTCATAGTGACTGAGTTTAGCGCCACTCCCAGATAAACGATCATCTGGGCCGGGAGAACCGAACTCTTCTCCCAGTTTATGGCAAAACCCAGGTTTAACAGGTGTGATGTCAGCACTTTGGTTTGTGCAGCTGCTTCCTGTCTGGATTGAGTTAGCAGCAGCAGATCGTCCAGGTAAAAAATAATTCTCATTCCTGCTCTGTGTAGCAGCTGCAGAGCAGTCTCCACGCATTTCGAGCATCCGCTCGGCCCCCCCCGTTCCAACACTACGCTCTCCAGGAGGGAATGAGCAGCGGGGCTGCTGCTAACATCGCCTTTTCTGGAGGAATCATCCGATTCACTCCGTGACTCAGCGTCAAAAAAGGTGATGGTGTCGTCCAGCGAACAGTCCCCCGTCACCGAGAGGCACTCCTCGATTTTAGCCTTGAACAATGCTGCTCGTCTCTGCCTCTCCTCAGGAGGGAAGAGGTCACAGAGACGGCAGGAGGAGGCGAGTTCGGCGTGGCGGGGACCCAGGCATCCTTCACAGATGTCGTGCTGGTCGAAACTCAGCATGTAGCCGGTCTTGCAGGACGGGCACAGGTGGATGGTGCTGGTGCTGGTTGTTGTGTTCTTGTAAAGCAGTGCTGGTTGCTTACTAAAGAAAAAATGGGAGCCAATTACCCAGTCTCACCATAATTTATACGGACCGGGGATGAGGCCCACACAGTAGGTGGGCGTGGACTAAAGTTTTCAGTGCTGTGCTGCGCGCGATGGGATAAACCCACTAGTGACAGCCTTAAAGGGCGAAGCCTATACGAAATAGAACACTTTGAGCTTCAGCCTGGTTTTTGGTACCACCAAAAGCAGTCAGATGATCGCAAGGCCCGAGAAGGAGCATAAGGATGAAGAAGGTCGGAGAGGTATGAATGTCAGCAGGAGAAGTTTAAAATTTATTCAGCACGCACAGGAAGCCATTGAAGGGAGGACAGAATCTGTGAAATGTGCTCAAACCTGCGAGTTCCTGTGAAAAGCCGAGCCGACTGTTTGTTGTTTTTCTTATGTCAATAAGAAAAAAAGGACCACCTTTTGATATTCAGGCCACTTATTTTGATGCAGTAACACCAAGTAAATTTGTTTGTCCTTTTATTTGTGGTCTTGTTGTATCATGATGTCATCATGTGTACTTTAGGGGCTCTAATAATCTCTGAACATTGTGAATCTAAATGTTTCTTTCAGCTCTGATCAGCTGCTGGGATGTAAAGTTTTATAAAGCAGGTTTTTAATCCTAGCTCTTGTATGTGAGAGTACTGGTGGTTCTGTCATTGGACCTCATTTCACGTTTTGAAGGATTCTTAACACACTAATGAGATTTAAATACTTTTAGAGAAGACTTAGCCTCAGATGACCAAAACTGTAGATCACTTCATCTGAGCTGACAGGACATCTGCTTATCTCCTCACAAACAGACAGACGATAATGCCGTCAAGGCCAGACGGTTAAATACACTGAGAGATTAAATCCATATCTTTTTCTATGCAAGCCCTCTGTGTTATATTTATCATTTAATTATAGTATCACATTTTTATCCATGCCAGCTGCAGGGGGTAGAATACAGAAGAGCCTTTTTGATGAAGCATGTCAGCTAATAGGACTTAGATGATGACAGTTTTATAATTTTATTTTAAGTGAGAATTGAATTAATGCATCTGAAATGTCCCTTTTTTAACTTTTATAAGAATAGTTTCATATCAGAATGGAGTAAAAAAAAAACTTAATGACAAACAGCAAAAGGGTTCTTCATGTTAAAGATGAACTTTCATTGGCAGCAGGACCAAATGGATGACAAAAGCTAACATGGACCGTAACCGCTCCCTCTCTTCTCTGCCTCTGCAGTGTTGCAGATCGTTCAGTTTGAATGAATATTCTGCCCATTTTCAAATGAGGTTATTTATCAGTTTATATCAGTCTTGTATTAGATGAGTGTTCTTTTTAATGGCGTCAATTTAGAGAAACAGCTCCTCAATCCTGTCAGATGTAAAGTCTTAACGACGAGCCTAAATGCAGCCAAGACCAGTCATTACGAGCTTGTCATGGTCCTAAAGGAGTGCTGCTGTCTCAGAACAACTTCGGTATTTACAGTAGTTTGTACTAACTCTAATATTTAAATCTTTACATCACCAGCAGTTTTGCATTGCCAGATAATTCTGGCATGAATAGTATGAAGTTCCTGCAGTAGACGCACCAGAAGTGCTACAGCTAGCTGCTCTTGTTGCTGTTTGTGCTAGCAAATAACTCTAAAGTTCTGTATAAATAAGTGCATAGTGCAGAACTGGTTGTATCATGAAGCGGGTTTTGGTCCTGTTTGAGCCATTAACTTGTTAATTTCATCCAAAGTAAACTCCATTCACCAAACTCAGGTGAATCTAAAAGCTATCTACACCAGGTAAGATAATTGTTAATAACTTTCCACAGAAAATGGCCTGAATATCCCTTTAAACTATAAACATTTTTATTGTTATTATGTAAACAAATTTAATAAAATGGAATTATTTTTGCAAGTTTTGTTCTGTGTAGCTCCAATCTGACAAGCCCCTAAAGGTGCCCTGAAGCCCCGTCTTTGTCTGAGTGTCCTGCATGCAGACTGACCTGCTGCTCGCTGTGTTCTTGTTGTCTGAAAGGTTCGCTCTCACCTGGCTGCTCTAAAGAGCAGCAGCAGCATGGCCCCGCCAAACTCATCCCCATCAGCTCCGCCTGTTGTATCTCGGTCGCAGTCCTTCAGCGAGCCACTCACACCTAGCTTTGAAAATCTCCACCTGCACAAAAGCCACAAATCCCACCAACACCATCAGCCTCCATCCTCATCCTCATCAGCATCATCATCAACGCCTGCACGCACTGACCCACAAACCCACCATCAGTCCAGACCTTTGCCTCATGAAAAGACCCCTTCAGAGGAGGTCCTGCCCCGGGTAAGAACAGAAACAGAAACCTTCGGCACTGTGCGGTAGCCATAGCTGCTCACTGACCTGATCAAATGACTGAATTTCAAATACATTTTTCTTCATCTGTAGTGAAGAAGGAATGATCTGAGAATCTGATTTACAGTAGTCCCTCGTTTATCACGGTGTGTCCGTACCCTGAAGCCCTGTGATAAGTGGAAAAACCACAAAGTAGGAATAGTAGTACAAGTAGTAAGTTGCAGTTTATTTTAGTATTTATATATATTTATATTAAGGCGTTTTAAACCCTTCCCACACTCGCAATATTCTAAACAATGTTTCTAA